CGATGTTGTGCAACTTGTCAATGTTGACGCCACCACGTTTCACCTCCGCAGACTGGGAGATATCGGGAGGGAACACGCAAATCATGCTGATGTATATATTAATCATGTATATACTGTTTGTTCACAAAGGCGAGTAGTCTTCCAAGGGACCATTTTCCACTTCCATGTTAGTGAGTCAGAGTGTGTTCCCCAGTGTGTGTGTGTGTGTGTCCACCTCTGTAACTAAGAGTTTCTGTTTTTCTCAACTTGTAAGTCGCAGGGGGGCGTGACGGTCGATTTCTTAGTCACGCCAACGAAGCTAGGGAAATCGACTGGATGGAAGTTTGGACGCAAACTTCTGTACCTGCGCGGATGAAAACTTTTGCACATGCTGTGACTCCACTTTTCCTTGTGTTGTTTCCATGGCGGTTGTTCGCATGATATCCCCCAAAACAGGTTTCCTTAGCTTTGGTAAAGTGCTAGTGCGTTTGTTAAACAGTTCTGTTCTTCGGACCCTTGCACCTTACCGTTCTTGCAGTAAAGGGCTAATGCAGTAACTAGTTTCCGCAGTCAAGTGTGAAACCACTTTTTTCAAGCACCTACAATGCTGGGACTCTTCGCCTTTCTGTTCCACCACCTTTCTTTGACTTGGGAACTGAGTTAACAGCAAACCAATGTCAGAGTGTGACTCGCTCAGTCGTCCCACTTGGGCGCTGGGTGTGATCCTCCGCAAGGAGGCGTCTCCACCAGACCTTGGATTCTCTTAACGGATTTAGTTTCACCACTGTATTCCCTGCAACTTATGCCGCCGGGCTTCACGGCAATTCCACTCTCTTTGATCAGATTCACGTTCATGTTTGCAGCTTGATTTCACTTTCAAGAATGTACTGTCTCGCATTTCCAACCACGACCACTTTGAGATCGGACACGTTACGGTTCCTTGTGTCTGTCCACACTTGCACTTCCACACACCCCCCCCCACCTTGCAACCTAATTCGTGTTTCTATCCCGTCTAGGGTAACAGAAGGAAATGGTACTCGACACACTTGTGTGTCGGTACCTTTCCTTCTGTTTCTCCTTTTCTACTCCTAGCTACCCGGGCGGTTTAAGACGTATGTCCCGCTCGCTAACTAGTGCATTTAATTCACGCGGCTAAGTAGTCAGTAACTAGCAGGTTTCGTAACTAGTGGGCCTTGTCACTACACCTATCTTTCTCTCTTTCCTTTGCGTTTTCCTTTCTGTCTTTCTTTCCTTTCGTTCTAAGGCTTTTTAGGTGATTAGTAAGTTCCCCCAGAGCGCCGATATCGGCGTTCTGTGTGTGTCCACCTCTGTAACTAAGAGTTTCTATTTTTCTCAACTTGTAAGTCGCAGGGGGCGTGACGGTCGATTTCCTAGTCACGCCAACGAAGCTAGGGAAATCGACTGGATGGAAGTTTGGACGCAAACTTCTGTATCTGCACGGATGAAAACTGTTGCGCACGCTGTGACTCGACTTTTCCTTTTGTTGTTTCCATGGTGGTTGTTCGCATGATATCCCCCAAAACAGGTTTCCTTAGCTTTGGTAAAGTGCTAGTGCGTTTGTTAAACAGTTCTGTTCTTCGGACCCTTGCACCTTACCGTTCTTGCAGTAAAGGGCAGTCAAGTGTGAAACCACTTTGTTCAAACACCTACAAATGCTTGGACTCTTCGCCTTTCTGTTCCACCGCCTTTCTTTGACTTGGGAACTGAGTTAACAGCAAACCAATGTCAGAGTGTGTATTTCTCTCGGTCTTCTAAGATCTAAGGCGGGATGCACTTGACTAGTTTAGACCATGTAATTGATCATTCTTCAAGGCTGGCTATCCTTTCTGTCAAAGAAACAAGAAGCCACTTAGACAAAGGCTAGGCAACCAGCTAAACCCGTACATCTTTGAGACGCGGATGTTCAAGGTGGCTGACACTTGAGTATAAAAACTCGGGCCATGCACCATCATCTTCAGGAGATCCATGGACCTGGCTCAAACAAATATACTGTTCACGAGCTGAGCTGCATCGATGTTTGCTCTTGTGCTCTCATGTCTGTCAGTCTAGCGCCCCGAAAACCAAAATGCGCAACGCTCCAAAAAATATCTCAACTCCTTAAGCCATCCTTCAAACGCGTCAGGGATACAGCCCACGTTGGTCCAATGCAGCATATGCTCTCTGTGTCAAGGCGTCCACATCAATGCCTTTCAAACAGAAGTCCGAACCAAACCAACAAGCCAAATCCGACCAAAATGACCAATGGGTGTGTATTTGAATAGGAGGACCCTCAACAATTGGCTTTTGGTCTCTTTTCCTTCTTGTAAAGACGCCCCGAGGAGACGCCGGACGCAGGTCCCCCATGGAGGGTTTTGGATAATAGAAAATAACAATTAATAAATGTCCAAAACCCATCATAGATAAATAAAATAGAATAATGGTCATCCAAAATCCACCAATAAAATCCTTTCATGTTATTGGATTTTTGCCATTACATCTCCTATCTTCTACATCCATGTCTTGGAACGTGGGCCCCCCGGCGTTGACCACGAGCGGTCATTTCTGCGAGTTCAGTGGCCTCCTGACGAGGAAGGGCCGCACTTGTTGTTCACCACTTGTTCATGGTCGAACGGACGTAAAGGAAAGAAAAGTGAGGCAGGGCCCCCCAGGAAGAAGGAGGACCTTATTAAAGGAACCCAAACACCTTCTTTTTGTATTTTCTTTCACAACCGCCCCCCCTCCCTCTCTCTCTCTCTCTCTCTCTCCCTCTCTCTCTCTCTCTCTGTGCTTGAATCTGTGCCCCAAATTACCATAAATCCGCCGACCCCGGCCTATAGCCAAAGCCTAGGCGGGGAGGCGCCTGGGACACCGCAGGGTGAAGCAGTTGGCCAAGCCTAGCAGAACCCTTCCAAGCACTTCCAAAGGCATGTGCGCAGGCGCATTGTGGTTGGCCGCGGCCTCTCGGTGGCCTGTCCGAGGCCTGCCTCTCCTCTTCTTATGGGCTTTTCCGAAAGCAACG